TTTTTTTTCTTCCTGTCTCCCTTGCAACATTTTGAGATCTAGACGGTAGTTATAATGGAGCATGACAGCATCTGTGATTTTAATGGTGTAAAAGCTGTATGAGCCAGGTGTGGTAGCAGACATGTGATCCTAGAATTTGGGAGGCTGAGGCAGGAGCATCACCAAAAGTTGGAGGCCAGCTGGACTACATTGTGAGACTTTGTCTCAAAAACAAAACAAAAAAAGTCACAAGAACTGTCAATACTATTTATTTGTTACCTGTATTCATAACTGAAAAGAAGATAAGTTTCAATTAGTGGTCATAAAAAACAAAGGATTTTTTTCCCATCCAGGTTCATAGTTCTCCTGAATTCTGAGCAGCTTCTGATAGGGGTGTTCCGGGCCTAGGAGGATGGTAGAGCATAGAGAGGGTGGCTAGATGGGGTGAGGGAGGGAGTAGTAGAGGCAGAGACCTGAAGTAGGAAGGGACAGAGTGGTAGGTGACAAGTGCTGGCTGGCTGGGGGGAAGCTCACGGACTTGACTTTGTGTGCTTTTTTGCTTTCTCTGTCTCTCTGTCTGTCTTTTTGAGACAAGTCTCACTATGTAGTTCAGGCTGGAACTCACAGTGATCCTTCTGCCTCAGCCTCCCAAGTGTTGGAATTACAGGCATGCACCACATGCTCAGCTTTACCTGGTATGCTTTAGGGGACTGACCAGAGAGTTAGCTCATGAGAAAGGTGGATGACAGTCCACATAGTAATGGAGAATTACTAACACTTGGTAATCAATTTTCTTTCATTTTGGCACAGGTCATTCAGATTCTAGGAGATAAGTTTCCATGCACATTGGTGGCACAGAAAATTGACCGTATGTCTCTGTTTTGTTTTATTTTTAAAAGATTGTTCCATTTCTCTGTCCCCCCCATAACCTGACTCTGTGTCTGTTTTCCTGATAAGTGCCGGAGTACCAGGGTGAACCAGATGAGATTTCCATACAGAAGTGTCGGGAGGCTGCGCGCCAGGTGCTTATCCCCTGCCAGTTCCCACTCAGTTTTCTTGTACTGGTGCTCCCTGTGCTGCTGGGAACAGCAGAGTGCAATAGAGGGGTAGTTTGTTGTGACTTCAAGGACCTGTTCAGGCCTAGCTAGGCTAGGTTCAGTTAATGTTGGCCTTGGGATACTGCCTTCTTGTCCCTACCTTGACTGTGGATTGTCTCCCCCAGGATACCCCCTCCACATGCATGGCTTCCCTCTGTCCACCCACAGCCTCCCTAGCTGAAGTGCATAAATCCGCATGTACACTCTCTCCCCACCCACTCCTGCACTGACACATCTTTGTAAACTGAGAGCGTAGTGTGAAAGTCAGGCTGCCCAGTTGTGGGTCCCGATGCTTCCACGGTGTGTCAGGAACAAGCTGCACACCTGCCAGTGCCTGGTGTCCCTGTCTCTACAATGAAGATAGAGAGGGCTGGGCCTGTGGCCATGACGATCCTCTGCTACAGATCTCAGCTAGCTGTGGGCTTAGGCTCAGCCTCGGTGGCCTGGGGCTTCCGGGCAGGGATGGAGCCTGCTTGTGGGTACAGGTCTCAGGACTGCGTGTCCTTGTGCTGCAGGTGCAGGGGCCCGTCCTGGTGGAGGATACCTGTCTGTGCTTCAATGCCCTCGGCGGCCTTCCTGGTCCCTACATGTGAGTGTCCCCATGAACTCCTTTGTGGGGCCTCCGTCACAAACCACTGGAATGCAAAATGATTAGTTACCTGATACTGTGGATCATTCACTGTCTTGGCATCAACATCAGTATTTCAGTTGTCCCAGAAAAGAATTAGGGATACAGGAGAGGTGTGACTTTCTTTTGTAAAGTGTGAGAATGTGATTGTGTAAGTGGATAGAGAAGAGGGAAACCCGCTCAGTTTCAGAGGTACATTGTGGGCAGATCAATTTCAGGAAAGGGAATAAGGAAGTTAAGATCTGAAAACTGATTTCCTTAAAATTATCCAGTACCCTGGGTCCCCCTTAGAAGGTCTTTTGTGTCTCTTTAGAATACAGATAACCCAATTTGAAGTCCCTTGGAGTGGGATGTATGTACAGAAGTGCCATTGCTTGTTTTGAATATATATCTCTGACTTTTGGATGACTAGTTCATTTACCTGTATATACCTGTATCTGTAGTACATATTGCTTCACATCCTTTCTAGCACTGAGTATATTATGAGTTTTTAAATTTGCAGTTTGAGCCGGGTATGGTGGCACATACCTGTAATCCCAGCATTCAGGAGGCAGAGGTAGGAAGATCACTGAAAGTTTGAGACTAACCTGGGCTACGTAGTGAGTTCAAGGCCAGCCTGAACTACATAATGAGACCCTGTCTCCACAATTTTGGCAATTTGGAGGATATAGTGTTATCACATGTAGTTTGATTTTGCATTTCCCTAGTTACCAAATGAGGTTGAAGCCTTTGTTTATTGATTTTTTTCTATGCATTGCATGTTTGCCTCCATTTGCTTTTTCCTATTAGGTGATTTTTCTGTCTCTCTCTGGTGCTGGACATTGAACTCAAGGCCTCACACATACTGCTAAGCACATGCTTTCCCCCCACACCTCTAGCCTGGATTGTTTCTGTAGGTTTTGATTTAAAACATTCCTTCTCATTTCCCCTTGGCTGTCCTGGAGCTCTGATCCTATAGGAAGTTTCTTCTGTGTGAGACCTCTGACTCTTCTTTATTTCTTTTGCAGAAAATGGTTTCTGGAGAAGCTAAAGCCTGAAGGTAATATTCCCATTTTTTCTTCCCTTGGCTCTGTAGGGAATTGATAATCCCCAGGTGGCCTTCCACCAGGGACCAGGAAATCTGAGGTCCTAGCTGCCATTGTTGAGCCTCCCTTCTATAACCTTGACTCGTAGTAGAGAACATTGAGAAGAGGTGGCAGGCGGCTGTAGTTGATTCTGCGTCTCAGGGAGGACTTGCCCCTAGTGACTGCCTGCAGTTGCTTCAAACAGGGCCTGGACTGCGGATTGGGGGAGGGGACTACCCTCCTAGGCCCCAGCAGTTTGTTCCAGCCACCCACAGATGCAGGCCATACTGTTTCCTCTTAGGACTACTTGGAGGTTCTAGCAGGAGAGCCCAGCTCCTCATATATCCCAGACCAAAGAATGGTCCTCTGTCGAGAAAGGCATCCTCTTCAGTCAGCCACAGGTGGAGCTTCAGGAGGGATACGCAGAGCATCGAGGAAGGAAGGGGACACCTGCTTAGCCAGCCACATCAGCTGGGCCAACCCTGTAACCAGTGGAGTGATAAATGTTGCAACCAGGTTGCACTCACATCCAGAACATTCCCTCTAAGTGTGCTTTTAAGAAATGCAGAGTATGTCAAATATGGAAGGTCATAAAATAGAGTAGAATAATAATCTCAAGCATGGTGCTGCATACTTCTGGTCCCAGCACTCTGGGAAGCTGAGGCAGAAGGATTGCAAGTTCAAGCCCAGCCTGGGCAATTTAGCAATTTAGCATGACCCTTTCTCAAAATAAAACATGAAAAATGTCTGGGGATGTAGCTCAGTGTGGAGGTCTGGGTTTAATCCCCAGTACCACAAAAATAAAAAACACCAATACCCCATAAATATATACAATTATTTGTCAATTTTTTTTCTTTCTTTCTTTTTTTTTTTTTTAACGGTACCAGGGATCAAACTCACGACCTTGCGCTTGCCAGGCAGGCACTTATGCCACTGAGCTATATCCCCAGACCCTTATTTGTCAATTTTTTAAAAAAGGATAATGACCCTGCCTCCATCATTCAGTTTATCAGCACAAGTTCCTTTTTATGTAAAGATACACAGGTATGAGCTGGGTGTGGTGGTGCACGCCTGTAATCCCGGCACTGGGGAGGCTGAGGCAGGAGGTTCATTGCGCGTTTGAGACCATCCTGGGCTACAAAGTAAGCTCAAGTCCAGCCTGAACTACATAGCGAGACCCTGTCTCAAAAAAACAAAAACAAAACAAAACAAAACAAAAAAACCAAAAAAAAAGATACACAGGTATGATTGGTAATACGCATAATCTTAGTTGGTTGTTCTGGTTTTGGGGACTGAGCCCAGGGCCTCAAGCACACTGAGCAGATATTCTGCCGCCACCTACACCTCCAGCTAATTTCTCAGTGTTGCGTAACTGGCTGGGGAGTTCCTTGGTTGTAACCAAAGTACTTTTTTACAATCGGTTCCCTTTTCTCAGGAATCAAACAAGTCCACACTATATTGGTTGATTTTCTTATTTAACAAAACCTCATCCCAGAGCCTACAATTTCAGCCTCCCTCCCATCCACGTTAATCTGGATTGGGGATGCCTTTCCCATCAAGGGGTCGGGGTGGGGATGGTGGTGTTGAGGGAGAGTGCTGGGCAGCAAGGACGCGCTGAACCCTCTCCTTTCTTGCTCACAGGGCTGCACCAGCTCCTGGCCGGCTTCGAGGATAAGTCAGCTTATGCTCTCTGCACGTTCGCGCTCAGCACTGGGGACCCCAGCGAGCCTGTGCGCCTATTCAGGGGCCGTACCTCGGTGAGTGGCCGCTCAGGTGCTGTTTTCCCGCTTGCCGCCAGAGGCCGCTATGGCCTGGGCAAAAGGCCCAGGGACCTCTGCAAGACTGTCCAGAAAGGGCGCCCAGGGCCGCTAAATCTGTTTGACTCCTGAAGCTGCTGGCTAACAGCTCCCAAGCCTGATGCATCTCGAGCTTTGTCCCTATGTGCTGGTAAGACTGAAGGTAATCATTCCCAAAGCTGCCTGGTGGCACAACACCTATAAGCACAGCCCTCTGGAGGCTGAGGTAGGAGGATAGAGAGTTCAAGGGTAACCTGGGCTACATAGTGTCAGACCAGCCTGGGCTACACGGGAAGACCCTGCCTCAGAAAGCAAGACAGAAAAGCCACATCTACAGCCCAGACCTCACCCCTCTCAAATTTCCTGTCCATCTGCCAAAGTACAACCTCCCTTCACTTTTCATGTTTACATATAATTTGAATTTAGTTTTATTGTTACTACTTTTTGGTGCTGGGGACCAAGCCCAGGGCCTTGCACATGCTAAGCAAGTGCTTTACCACTGAGCTACACCTGCAGCCTAGTGTTTTAATTCTTCAGGAAAGCATAGTTCTTCCCCAGTTGCCATTCAGCACACCCTGCCAGGCCCTTAGCGTTGGGTGCTTTTCTCCAGGTCCAGACCACCTCCCAGCTGCTCAGCTTCTGGCTTGTCGATGCTCAGTTCCTGCTGCCACAATCAAATCCAGGGTTCCCCGTGGGGCTGTCCACAGATACTTCATGGTCTGGATAAGTTTGGTTTGTTGTTGTTGTTTTGGTACTGGGAATCCAACTCAAGACCTTGTGCTTGCCAGGCAGACACTGTACCACTGAGCTATACCCCTCCCCAGCCCAAGTTTTTCTTTCTTTTTTTTTTTTTTTTTTAATGGTTGTAAAAAGCATATCACAAAAAAAAAAATTACAAAATTTACCATCGTCACCATTTTTACATGTGCATACAGTAGTGTTAAGAATATTCATACTGGGTGCTGGGGATTTAGCTCAGTGGCACAGCGCCTGCCTGGCAAGCACAAGGTCGTGAGTTTGATTCCCGGTTCCAGAGGGGAAAAAGAGTATTCGTACTGTTGGACAACAAATCTCCAGAACATTTTGGTCTTGCAAATCTGAAACTACCCATTGAACAACTTCCCTTTCCTCCCTGCCCCAGCCCCTACCAACCACCATTCTACTTCCTCTGAGGGTTTCACCACTTCACATGCCACATAAAAGTGGAGTGATACAGTATTTGTCTTTTTGTGACTGGCTCACTCCACTTTGCATAATGTTCTCAAGCTCCATCCGCGTGGTAACACAACAGTTTTCTAGGATGTTAAGGCTGAAGGATATTCCATTGTATGCATAGACTATGTTTTGTTGCCTATTATTTGCCAATGACATTTAGATTGTGAATAATACACAATCACAGTCACGATTTTGTTTTCAGTTTTTGAGGACATATACACAGGAGCAGCATTGCTGGGTCATGGTGTCTGGTTAAATTGTTAAAGATTAGTTGTAATTTTCTGCTGCTTTCCCAGAAATGTCCACTTAGGTGTGGGCCTACTCGCTGCAGAGCAACTAGGCAGCGGCCTCCCTGTGACAGCGCCTGTGTCACTGTGCCCCCTACCATGCCCTGTTGTTCCTGCTCTGGTGCTTGCCCTGGTTGTGTGCCAACCCCTATCCCTCCTGAGGGATTGTGTGTTCATCTTGTCCTGCTTTCCCTGTGTATTCATTGTCCACGGTGACACTCTGGACACCCATTGTCCATACTAGCATTGTCCTTTCAGCAGCTCATGCATGCCACACCGTACCCATTTTGGAATCTGCATACCAGCTGCGTCTGGTGCCTGGAATGTTCTTGCTGCAGCCCTGGATGTAGCCAGTCACTGGGCTTCTGGACTAAGTCAACCCCAAGGCATTCCATCCTGCTGTCCTGGAGTGCAGCACCCCGAGGGTCCCCTCCAAGGCATTTTGTGTTTGGCAGTCATTAATTTGTTTACCAGGGTCATGTCTGCTGGGCTCTGACATCTGTTGCAGGAGGGGAAGGCTACGTTTGGTGGGAACCTAGGGTTGAGAACACTGTCTGGGCCACTGCATCAGTCAGAAAACATTTGTCGCATGGGTAAGACTCAGGATAGTTTAGTAATTAGCCATGGTCACACAGCTCCCTATTAGCAGAAGCAGAATCTGCTTTTGGCTCTGCATGACTTGGCGTTTATGTGGCTAATCCCCATTGTCCACCACCACTCTTGGAGGAGTTTTTTGTTTGTTTGAGACAGGGTCTTGCTCTAATTCAAGCTAGCCTTGAATTCACTATGTAACCCAAGGCTGGCCTCAAACCCATGGTGATCCTCCTGCCTCAGCCTCTTGAGTGCTGGGTTCAAAGGCATGTGCCACATTTGACTCTTGAAGTTTTTTCTTTCTTTCTTTCTTTCTGTTTTTTCAGTGCTGGGGATTAAACCCCAGGACTTGCATAAGTTAGACAAGCAGCGCACTGCTGAGCTACACCTTCAAGCCCTGTGTGTTTGCGCGTGTGTGTGTGTGTGTGTGTGTGTGTGTGTGTGTGTGTGTTTGAGACAGGGTTTCATTGTTTAGCCCAGGCTGGCCTCAAACTCTCAGTGATCCACCTGCCTCAGCCTGCTCAGTGCTGGGATTATAGGTGTGCACCACCACATCTGGCAAGCCCTGTTCTTTTTGGGTTTTTATGGGTTTTTTTGGTACTGGGAATTAGAATCTTGTGCTTGCCAGGCAGGCACTTGTGTACTGAGCTATATCCTGGGCCTTGCCCTATATTTTTTAAATTAGATGTTTCTTTTTAACTTTGATGACAAAATGATATTTCGGGGCATTTGACTATAATTTGTTTTCTTTGTGGCCTTTTATATTGGAATTTACCCGTTATAGCCAGTATTTAGAGGGTGAAAGGGCTAGCTTTTTATTTTATTTTATTTTTCTCCACAATACTGGGGATCGAACCCTGGTCCTCCATACTAAACTGCATTCCCAGCTCTTTTTAAAATTTTTGAGATAGTGTCTTGCTAAGTCGCCCGATTTGCTCAGGCTGGGCTCAAACTTTTGATCCTCTTGCTATAGCCTCCTTAGTGCTGGGGTTACACGTTTGTGCCTCCTCTCCTGCCAATAGCTGGTATTTCTTGAGCTCCTGGATTTATTACATCATCAGAGCTGTCTCTTTCTCTCCCTCCCTCCCTCTCTCTCTCTCTGTGTCTGTCTCACACACACACACACACACATACACACACTTATCTGTGCTAGAGATCAAACTTTGTGAGTGCTCTACATCACCAGCCCCATTCCTTGTTTTGTTATTGTTTGTTTTTTGAGACAGAATCTTCTTATGTAATTCAGGCTGGCCTTGAACTCACTGTGTCACTCAGGCTGGCCTCGAACTTGCAATGATCCTCCTGCTTCAGCCTCCCGAGTGCTGGGATTACAAGCGTGCACTACTATGCCTGGCTTGACCTCATTCTTAAATGAGGTCACAATTTATCAAAAGTGTAGAGAGGGAGGGTGGCCCCAGAGGTGTTAGTGGACCAAGCAAGTTCATAGTTCCTCCCTGTATGTCCTGATTTTTTTTTTTTTCTTTTTTTTTTTTGAGACAGGGTCTCGGTATGCAGTTCAGGCCAGCCTTTAGCTCACTTTGTAGCCCAGGCTGGTCTGGAACTTGCAACCATCCTCGTGCCTCAGCCTCCCGAGTGCTGGGATTACAGGAGTGCACCACCATGCCCAGTGGTTGTTTTGTTTTGCAATACTAGGGATTGAATCCAGGGCCTTTACCCAAAGCTACATCCCCAGCGCTTTTTAATTAGCTAAATTTTGGGACAGGGTCTCATGAAGTTGCTAAATTAACCAGGCTACGCATGGCCTTGTGATTCTCCTGCCTCCGTGTCCTGGAGTGCTGGGAGTACGGGCACACACCACCATGTCTGGCCCTGCTCTGCATTTTATTTATGTATGCAGCAAATGTTAGCACTATGCACCCCTTGAACTATCAGATTTAATTAATTTCACAAACTAGCCCAACTCAGACCACCCCCCTAGAGCCCAGTTACATACCTGTCCCCCTTTCTTGTGGCAGGGCCAGATTGTAGCTCCCCGAGGCTGCCGGGACTTTGGCTGGGACCCCTGCTTTCAGCCTGATGGATATGAGCAGACGTAAGAGCCCCGATTTCTTCCCTGGGGCATGGGTTGGGTGGGCGCCCTGCCCAGTACAGGCATAGGGATATGGGCAGGGCGGGCCTTAAGGGTGCTGTTCCAGCTGAGGGCAGCTCTGCTGGGTGGACACAAGGAATCTGGTTGGCCCTGTCCGTGACAGGCGGAGCTGGGCATCCTGGGCTCTGGCTGCAGCTCGCCCCAGAGCAGCAATGTGGGCAATGGCTTTCCCTCTCTGGCCTTGGCTTATCAATGCGTAGAAACCCAACAGTTGTATAAGATTATTCTCTGACCAGTTTTATCTACATTAGCAAAATGTTCACACTTGAGTGGCCTCTGGTAGGGACTTTAAACTCCACAGTACCAGGTATTCTCAGGGTTTCATGCTAAACCCCTCTTGTTTGTGGGAATCAGGCTTCCTCGGCTGGAGAGGCCCTGAGGCCCCACAGCCCAGGGCTTCACAGGGTGGAGGACATTGTGAAACAGCACTGTTAAGGAATGAGCCTTGGTGACACTTAGAAATGCTTTCTTTGCACCGTCCGGTGGCCACTAGCCATGTGTGGCATGGAGCAACTGAAAGGGAACTAAGCCAAGGAACAGAGTTCATTTTTATTCGGTTGTGATGAACTTCACAGCATTATGGGGCCAGTGCTACTGTATGGCGTGGTGAGTGTCCAAAGCCCCAGGCACGGGTGGACTCTCACCTTACTGGAGCCCTGGTCTGGAGGACAGGCCTGTGGCCAGCTGCTGTCATCTGCCTCCCCACTCACACACCCAGTGCATTAGAAGAGGCTGCTGTGTTTGTGCTGTCAGGCCCCAGTGCTTCCTGTCAACAGATAACAAAGCTGAGCAAACATGCGGCTCATCCCTGTCCCCAGCTTCCCTTAATAACTGGACACAGTGGAGCGGGTTTACTATCCCTCAGTGCTCATTTATATGGTTTTTCTATCTAAAGAATTTTAAATTGTCAACAATTTTAAAAAATTAACTAGTTGGCAAGAGCCAGTGGCCTAAGAGGCCCTTGAGCTTTGGCTGTGGGATTGGATTGGGCTGGGGTACACATCCTCCTGCGGTCTGGGCTCCCTGTTCTGAGGTGCTACTGTGACCCCTCAGGTATGCTGAGATGCCCAAGGCGGAGAAGAATGCCATCTCCCATCGCTTCCGAGCCCTCCTGGAGCTGCAGCAGTACTTCCACAGCCTGACTCCTGGGGCTGGAGGAGGTGCTTCAGGCCGGGGGTCTGGGGAGAGCTAGCTGGGAACTCCCTCCCGGTCAGGCATTCAGTGGGGGTGTGGAACCAGCTTTGCTTTGGGCTGGAAGAGCTGAGGCTCAGTTCACAGACATTCTGGGTAGGCTGACACCAGTCTTGTCCTCAGGAATTCAGAGATAACTCCTATAGCCTCCAGGTCAGGACCGAGTGATAAAACCAATCTTGGCAAACAAACAAAAGAAAAAGTCTTGGCAGGATTGAAGGTTTGGGGAAGAACTGGGTAAAAACAGCCTTGATGTTTTTAAAATGCAGCAAATAAAAATTCCGGAAGGAACTTGTTTCCAAAATAAACTGGATGTATTTGCTTTGAACCCTGCCTCAGGCTGCTGTCTGTCCCCTTTGACAGGTGCAGGAAGCCTTTTCAGTGGGGGTGTCAGACAAGGGCAGGGCTGTGTCAAGGGTGTTTGCCTGCCCTTGCTGGGTGGCGTGTTGTATCTTCTCTGCTCTTCTTTCTTTTGGGCTGTCCCTCCCTACCCCACATTGGAGCAGAATCCAACTCCCTGCCCTGCATCCAAACACAAGAGGCCTTAGGGCCCTGTCTTTTTCTGCAATGCCAGCCTCTGACTTTCGCCAGCTGGTAAACCTTTTTTCTTTCTTTTTTAGCTTTTATTTGATTATGAAGGTTTTTTCTTTAGTATGAGTTTGCAAAACATAGCGAATACATTCACTTCAGGGTGATTACCAAGTGTTTTTTGCCTCTGTGTTTTGCCACACTGGGATCAGGCCCAGGGCCTTGTGCACACGTGGCAAGTGCTGTACCACAGAGCTACACCCCACCCCGACAGAGGGGTTCCAGCATCTCGCCTTCCCTGTTAGCTCTTTAATTCCCTCTTCCCCGTTTGAAGCCATGGTCTCTAGAGTTACTGTCCTTTTTCTTACTGGTTTCCTAGAATTATTTGCATATTTTAGGTATTAGTCCCTTTTCTGTTTTCAGAGTATCAGATCCCTCCTTCCACTGCCTTAATCCAAAATATCTCAGTCCGGGGGGCATTTGTCAACCCAGAGTGAGCCAGGTGTTCTGGCTGTCACTGTCGTAGACCCTGGCCAACCACGGCCACCAGACCAGTCCCCGCATGCTGGCATCTGCTGCTCTCCCTCTCCCCTCCGGCCTCACCCTGTCACTGCTCTGTGCAGGGTGCCCATGCCCTGCCCCGCAGCCACAGCACCCCACTGTCCCTCATGCCGGTTCCAGAACTTGCTCGGCAGGTATTGCAGCACAAAGGCCTCCCTGCTGGACTGTCCGCATTCCACTGCTGGGCCAATGTCCACTGTGTAGGGTGCAGCGACCACCCACAGGTGCCACTCAACAAACAGCCCCTCTCATTCACTCCCCCTGGGATGGGGGTGACACACGGAGAAGGATAGAAACAGGAGCTTTATTCTCTAATGTGTCCACAGTGCGTTCCTTATACAATCAAGGAAATGGCTTCTCTCCTGGCATCGACTCTTTTATCAAAAGAAAACCCACCCTGCTTAGCCCCACCCTGGACAGAAACTGCCCCAGCAGCGTTCCTGACCTGAAGCTGAAGGCTAATGTGCAGAGGGGGAGCATGGAGCACTGAACCCCCCGTGCCGAGGTGCCGGGGCCTGTGAGCTGCCTGTGCAGACACAGTCCCCCGTGAGAGCCCAGACCCCCACACCTCCCTTCACAGTTGCGGTGGTGGCTGGGGAGGTTGGCAGAGGTGTGGCCGGAGCCTGCTGGTCAGGAGCAGTGCTCTGCATCCATGGCGTCCAGGTACTTGGCTGCAATGATTCGGGGCAGCAGGATGTACCTAGGTGCAGGAGGGAGAGGCAGGAAGTGAACCGTGGACGGTCCGAGAGAAGGCAGCAGGCGCCCAGCCCACACACCACAGCCCTGGGCTGCCCCTCCTGCCCACTGCCCGCCCGCCGTACCGGATGGGAATCAGGAGAATCATGATGAGGGGGAAGACCATCTTCATGTAGGGCAGGGTGCTCATGCCAAAGGTGCAGAGCAGCAGCAACTGCATGCCCTGCAGGCACGTGAAGTAGTGGATCTTCCTCTGGGGCACCCTCCGGATGTAGTGTGTGGGCGGGTACGATGTCTGCAGGCGGCAATGACCAATGTGGGCAGGGACAGCTATGTGCCTTGTCCGTTCCCGCCCCACCCGCCGCCCCCCGCCAGGCACCAACCTGTTCTTTAAGGAGCAGGGCCACACGAGAGAAGAGCTGGTTGCCGTCTAAGGAGGTGAGCGCGATGTAGAGGAAGAGGCCGTAGAGCACGGGCTTGGGGATCCACTGCAGCGGGAAGGGCAGCAGCAGCAAGGACAGCCCCACTAGCACACTGGCGCCTAGCGACGTCAGCCGGGTCTCCTTCACATCCACAATCCTGCAGGGCGCAGGCGCAGGCGCCCACGCGTGGTCCCGAGGCTGCTTCACCTTGGGACCCTCATCCCCCAAGCCACAGCCCTCCCTGGGTCACATATAACCCAACCCCCAGCGCTGAGGCCATGTGGCTTAGCCCCAGCTGCCCAGGGTCACTGTTGCACTCACGTCTCATAAATGTGCCCGTTTTCCACTCGCTCCTCCACTAACGCCAGGGCCCGCACGTGCAGCGGGGAGTGGGGGTAGGCGGCGTGGATCCAAGGCAGCCCAAACAGGGACAGCACTGTGTTGATGATGGCAAGGAGCAGGAGGTCCCAGTGGTAGGCAGTGCCTTTCACCAGCCTGCAGCAGATGGGCACATGTGGACAGGGCCGCGCTGGCCTGCAGGGCGCAGAGCTCTAGCTCAGCCTGTCCTCCGCCCCCATACCTGTTCTCTGGTGCATTGACCAAGGCAGCTACCAGGTTCTGCTCGATGAAGAAGAGCAGGGAGAGCAGGAAGCCGAGGACCATGGCACTGCCGACGGCCTCCAGAGAAAGCGAGCTGATCTGTGCCACCTCAAACAGGTTTTCGCTGGGGTTGTAGCGGAACCTGCTCACTGCACAGGGGACAAGCTCCTGCTCAGCCAGCAGCCCGGGAGCATGTACAGGCTGCCTCCACCCACCACAGGTCCCAACTCACTCTCAATTTCCTGGAAGCCGTAGGAGCTGAGGAGGGAGAAGGTGAGCACTGCGATGGGCAGGGCACAGTCGGACAGGACCTCGCGCACGTACGGGTGCAGGTAGGGGCTGCGGTGGGCAGTGAGGTAAGTGCGGCCCGAGAGCCGCACAGTCCCTCCCCGTACCCCAGTCCTTCCCCGTACCCCAGTCCTTCCCCGTACCCCAGGCCCTCACCTCTTCTTGAACTGGTAGAGGGTGTAGCCCAGCCAGAGCGTGCCCAGCATGATGAGGAGGCTGAGCACTGCGGTCGCCTGGCCAGAGTGCGCAGCGCCCAGGCTGCTGAAGGCGTCCAGCTCAGTGGGGCTGGCCAGGAAGCTGGTGTTGAGGGCGGCATGGAAGCTGGAGTTGAGGGTGGCGCCCGTACCCATTGGGCTCACCAGGAGTGAAGTCCTCTTCATGTGGTGGTGTCCGTAGTAGTACTTCCAGAAGACTGTGGAGCAGACCAACAGGCCTCGGCCTCTGAGCTCTGAGAGGTCGGGGCTCAGCACCCTTCTGAATGTGGGGTGGGGGCCCAGGGAGGGCAAGGAGGGGGAGAGGCCCTGAGGGAGAAGAAGGCTTGGAGGGAGAAGGAAGTCGGGGAAACTGGCCTGTCAGCCAAGACCCCACTGACCTGCTCACCCACCCACTGTCCCCACAGCTCTGCTACTGTCCCTGTTCCCGCTCTGAAATGCCATCACACCTGCTCGGTGCCTCTGACCCCATCTCTGACCCTGCCTGGGCAGCCCTGCCAGCCAGTGCCCGGGTGGGAGCAGCCTTAGCCTGACTCCTTGTCAGCCTGTCAGGCCCCAGCTCGGAGTCCCCCGCCCGGAGTCCCCAGCCCCGCTCAGCAGGGGTTGCCAGCTCTGCACTCACTTTTGACCATGCCCTTGACGGCATCCACCACGAACGTGATGGAAATGAACAGGGCAATAATTTCCTCCGTCGACCTGCCAGGGGGTAATGTGCCTCATGAGATGGGTGTGTTGTTGGGGGTGAGGTTCCCTGAGCCTCTGTGTGGCCCCCTAAAAAATGACCAGGGCCCAGGCCTGGCCCACCCCAGTCTCTTGGTGCAGGGGTACGTGGGGACACTGCCTTCTCAGGGTTCCAGCTCCTCGGAGGCTGGCATGCAGCTAACCAGAGCACGGAAAAGACCAGTCACCTTTTAAAAAGACTCATGACCAGACTGAGGTTGAAGAAGGCATAGAGGGCCAGGAAGAAACTGTTCCACAGGCCTGTCCATGCGTAGAAGGCATTGAAGTCCAGATTGTAGTCATCACAGATGACACGGATCACTGTGGGCAGGACACACGGTCAGGTCCCAGCAGGGATCTAGGGTCTTGGGTACCATCTCCCGCCTCAACCCCCACTGCACCCTGGGTGTAGATGGCCAGGGGCGCAGTCGTCAGCAGAATCACCAGTGGCTGCCCGGAGAAGATCGCATACAGGAAGCCGCCGATACTCTGGCCGACTATGGTCTTCTGCACATCTGCAGAGGTGGGAGGTCAGGCGGACACAGCTGGCACCCAGCCCTGCCCAGCACGGCCCAGCCCTGCCAGGCCCAAGGCCCTCACCAATGGCCCCATTTGTGTTCTCATCATTCAGGGACCCAAACGCAATTGTGGGCAGGAGGCAGGCAAAGTAGAGGAACAGGGTGGTGGTGATGTATTTCCCCACAGCCTTGCTTTTCCCGATGATGCCTAGGAAAGAGGGGTGGGCAAGAGGATTGTTGGGGAGGCAGGACGGACACACAAGGTCCTGAGGCCTGAAAGGCTGAACCAGGCAGGCAGCGAGGCCTCATACCATCAGTGAAGTCCTGTGAGTACACGGAAAACCTGCGCACGATGTCCTCCCGGATTCCCCTCCCGAAGGGGAAAAAGTCCTTGCACTTTGGGGGCTGGGAGAGAAGCAACACGTGTTAATCCTGGCGCCCAGGCCCCTCCTGCTGTGCCCACCTCTGCCTGTCCATACCTGTGGGTGTCTGTGGGCGTGGAAGGAGCCTCTGCCGTGTCCATTTGCTCTCGGTATGGTCGTGGTGAGCAGCTGTCTCTGATGCATCAACGCCTCCTTGAATTCCTCCTCTGTGCGTGTCCTCAGGAGCTTCTGGCGGAAGGTGATGTCTGAAAACATGGTGGCGAATGTGCGTGCCACTTCCGTGGCCGTCTTGGTGCTTTTCTGGACACAGGAGATGGAGAGTACAGCTGAAGCCCTCGAAGGACAGAGCACTCTGCCTTGGCAAGCATAGCACCTCCCAGCAGGAGGCAAAGACTCTCCTGGGAGCTGGCAGTGGTCCCCAAAGTTCAGGCACTGGGCTACACTGGCCACCCTTTCACTAGATCATTAGAACAAGTGCCAATGTAATATTTTTCTTTTCCTTTTCTGGTCTTTTTGAGACAGGGTCTTGCTATGCAGTTCAGGCTGGCCTTGAGCTCATTTTGTAGGCCAGGCTGGCCTCTAACTCGCAACAATCCTCCTGCCTCAGCTTCCTGAGTCCCTGGATTACAGGCCTGTGTCACCACGTGCAGCTTCTTTTCTTTTTTTTTTTTTTCCAGTACTAGGAATCGAACTCATGACCTTACACTTGCCAGGCAGGCGCTGTGCCACTGAGCTAAATCCCCAGGCCCCCAGCTTCTTTTCTTTGAAGACAGAATCTCACCATGTAGTTCAGGCTGGATGGGAACTCACTATACTATAGCCTAGGCTGGCCTCCAACTCAGTGATCCGCCTGCCTCAGACTCTTGAACCCTGGATTACAGGAGGGCACCAACCCCACTGTAATACTTTTCTTATAAATTCAGACACAAGTCATCCTAAGCAACAAAAGTTGGATGGAGATATAGTTAGTCATAGAGCACTTAGCATGTGCAAGGCCCTGGGTTTGATATCCAGCACCACCAAAAAAGAAAAAAAAACCACTGATAGAAAACCACAACAGAGCACATTTCCCTAATCAGCCCCAGCTCCCCACCTGCACTCTGTTCGTTATTTGACTTTCAAAGGAGGTCCAGGCCCACTGCACCTGGTCTCTTGCCTATTGGCCAGGCTCAGTGTGTCCATGAACCATGAAGCATCCGGCTCAGCAACCTGCTCACCCCCAGCCCAGGTAACCAGGCAGCACCTGCCCTGGGTCATGCTCAGAGCTGTTGTCCCAGGGCTCTGCTCCCGTGGGGCAGAGCAGCCTGCGTTCCTGGGGAGAGGCCCAGCATACAGGCTGGTTGACCTGTCCTAAGGCACCCAGCTTGTAGACTGCTGCTCCTTTCACCATCCTGGCCACTCTGCCAGCTGCCACTCCCTGTCACTGTGAGCTGTGCTTCCTTTCTCCCTGGTACCCTTGTAGACAGAATGTCTCCAAGACCCTTGGGAGGGATATTTCCTTAGCACTCCCTTTGCCTGGAGAAAGCCAAAGGAAGAAGCCTGAACCAGAGGCAGAGGCAGAATCATCCAGAAGCTAATGGAGCCAGGTGTTGTGGCACAGCCCCCACCCCCAGTCATCCCAGCACTCTGGGAGGCTGAGGCAGGAGGATTTCAAGTATGAGTCTACCCTGGGTAACTTAAGAGACTTAGGGAGACCACCTCAAAATAAAAAGTAAAAAAAGGGCTGAGGATGTAGCTCAGTGCAGAGGTCCTGGGTTCAATCCCCAGTAGTAAGAAAAGAGGAAGGAAGGGAAAGAGGAAAGGAGTGAGCTAATGCAGGGCAGAGGGTGTGGCTGAGCGGTAGAGTGCTTGCCTCCACACACTAGGTCCTCAGTTCAGCCCCCAACACATGACCAACAAGCTCATAGAAGATTCAATGTTAAAGCTCTAAAAGGCCTACAAAGGGGGTCTCATAATTCTCTATTCAAGATTTCAAAATCCTTTACTGGAAGACTCCACACATGACCAGCTTTAGCCTCCACAAAAGCAGAGAACCCTCGCTGAGCAGCATATGGCCGAGACAGAGTAGGGGATGTCTTAACATCAGGCAAATCTTAAAGTCAGTCAACAAGGAGGAGGATGAGGGTGGGAGAGCAGGCCGGAGAAAGGCTACGACCATGATGTTTGGATCATAGCCATGGAGAAAGCATTTCTGCTTAGTCCAGAAGTAGACAACATTTTGGGCGACCTTTAAGGAAATTTGGATGCAACAGGGACCGAGCAAGGAAGTGTCTGAGAAAGCACTGGAGAGAGTAAGGATAGCCATTGCAGGAGGCCTTCAGAGATGCTTTGGAGAAGGGGCCGGGGTGGCCTGGGCCCCTGAGCCCCCAGACCCGCACTCACCATCTTGGGTGGGGCCAGCACTAGGATGACGAACCGGACCTCACAGGAGTTCTCACCCCAGTTCTGCGGGCGAACCAGGCGGCTGATGCACACGTGCCGCTTCTGCAGGGCTTTCATGGTGCAGCTGCAGGGAAGGACACACACAGACAGAGCTGCCACCACAGGAGCTGCCCCCTGAACCCCTGACTGTGGCCCCTGATGACGTGTGCTCAGGAGAACAAAGCTCAACAGCATGATGGACCCTCTCCTCCCAAACTGGGTGTCGCCAGAGCTGGGTCACTTGTGGCTGGGCAGCCTTGGCAGGGACAGGAGACTGGACTCCAGTGTGACGGGCGGGGAAGGGGGTTGTGGCTGGCAACTCACATGATGCAGAGCCAGGACTGCTGGTACTGCACCCCTCTGACCGTGGCCGTGACCCCTTGGATGGTGTCTGACAGCAGGTGCACTAGGGACAGAGAGGGGAGGGTCAGCCGCACCCCCGGACCTCCCTGCAGGGCAGGGGGGGCGGGCCACACCTTTACTCTCCGTGGGGGCCCCCGTATCTGTAAAGAGCTTGGCCATGATGAGCTCCAAGTTGCAGTCAGGCTCAGCGTGGTTGGGGTCCTGGGCGAAGCGGGTCAGCATGGTCCGCAGCACGTCATCCAGGGAGGTGGCCGTTTCGTTCAGGATGATGCTGGCCTGGGCCAGGAAGCCATCCAGATCCCGGTGCGCACGGATCTCTTCCCTGAAGTTCTTTAACTTCAGGTACTGGGGGACCACAGGCCCAGGAATGAGACTGCTGTCCCTCCTGGGCCTCGCTCCTCCATGGTGCCCCTGGCTGCCCCTGTCCATCAGCATGAAGACCCCTTTCCAGGACAGAAGGCTTGGCCTGGGGGCTCTGAGGTCCCTGTTAGAAACTTCTGGGGGGCTCGGGAAGGGGACAGCAGGAGGGACCCATGGGAAGCAGCTCCCTCCCACCGCCCAACTAGGCTCAGCCCTCACCTTGCGGGATGTGTGCAGGAGCACGCAGCCACTGGACAGCGCGTCGCCTTCTGGAGAAGGGAGGAGGCTCAGGGTGCTGGGGCTCGCTTGCTAGAGTGGGGCCCCTCCCCTAGCCTGTCCCTGTGGCACCCCCTACCTGATACAGAGGGCGGCATCTCGAGGCTGACATTGACAAAGAAGCGGATGCTTTCGCCAGACACAATGGAGGAGTTGACTGTGTCAAACACTTCCTCCCCCAGGCTCTCTTCTCGGACCTCGGAGGTGTCATCGACTTCATCCTTGAGGTAACTCGGGGATGGAGCTGTCACCAAGAGACCCGAGGGCCAGTGCTGCGCACCAGGAGGGGCTCCAAGCCCACGGCGCAGGTCCCCAGCACCCCACTCTGGAAATGATAAACCTCGCGCAGGCTCAGAGGGAGCCCTGCTGTCCTGCCCGACCCCCCTATGTGGAGCCCGCATGCACAGCAGGAGCCCCTGCTCAGGCACTTCCACATTCTTCAGCTGCTGGGATCAGGCCCCTGCATCGTTCCCTGTTCTGACCCTTCCTGTGTCATGCCACAAACCTCGGGCCAATCACAAGGTGCACGTCTGTAATCCCAGCTACCTGGGAGGCTGAGGCAGGAGAACTGCAAGTTTGAGGCCAGCCTGGGCACCTCAGCAAGACTTGCACACAAAAAGGGGGATAGCTTAATGTGAAGGCTCACAGGAAGGCTCCCTGGTGACATGCAAATGCTCCTCTCTCCTCTGAGCCCTGCTGTGGCTCCCGCTGCCCCCCACTTCCTCAGGCTCAGTCCTGGTCTTTGTCCCCACCTTGACCCCTCACGCTGGGGAGGCGGCCAGCACCCCAAGCTTGCCAGCTCCTGTCCTCCCAAGCCAGCTGAAGGCTTCCCTCCCTCCTGGCCTTTAGGGCTCACTGGGAATCTCCCCCTCTGAGAAGCCTTCCCGGCCCTGCTCTCTGGCTTGGCTAGCACCTCTTCCAGGACTGTCCGATGGTCCCCAGGAGTGACTACTCCAGGAAAAGGGGTGCCTAACCAACACCTGTGCAGGACAGGGACAGGGACAAGGTCAGCAGCACGCCTACCTGCCCGGCAGTGACTCACCCTGAGTCACTTCCACCCGGCCGGCCAGTTTCCTCTGCACATCCCCATGTTCCCAGCTCAGGGTCTGGTGACCCCAGCCCCAGGCCTCACTGACTCCATAGCCCAGAACTTCTCGCTCAGAAGTGGTCCTCGCTTTTGCCGCTGAGCTTGTGAAAATCCCCACTGCCCCCACTCCAGGCCTGCTTTGTTTACAGCCACCTGGGTGCCCCGACCCCCACCTGCCCAGGCCACTGCTCTGCCACCCATCCACCCCCCACTCCCCAATGCTGCCCTGCATGTGGCCATCTTCTCTCCCTGCCTAGGGAGCTACCTTTGCTCAGGCTCAGCTCTCAGACATCTAGTTAAGGGCCTGCCCAGGTCTGCAGGGCTCCTTGGATGCCACACCCCCACCTCCACTGTGAATGACAGCCACTGGGAGAGAGAGCTTGTCACCCTCGGTCTACGCACTAACAACCCCCTGGTGGTTGGGGCTGGGCACAGGACAGGCAGCAAGAAGGGGAACAGGCATTCAAGATACATGCAGGGGGCAGCCAGACCCGAGTGAGCAGCGACAACTGATGCCCAGAGAGGTTAGATCTCCTTAGAGGGATGAAGCAGCCCCTCCCCACAGGGCTGGGTGGGCTTGAGGGGTGAGATGAGGGCAGACTCAACATTTGGTCAGAGGCCACCCAGACAGTGGACAGGGGAGGGAACACCAGGTGGTGCCTGTCGCCTGCCCTCCTAGGACCCTGCACCTGCCAGTGTGAGCCACCGATCTTGCCACATCACGGCCTCCTCGAAGCAGGGACAAAGGCATTCGAGCACCAGCACAGGTCCACAGCCAGGGGCCCAATGCCACAACACACAGGTGGGCATGCCACCTAGAGACAGCCAAGCTTCATGTACATACCTGAGAAGTACTCGCCAGAGTCCTCAAGGCTTCCATTCTGTGACATGGCCAAAGAGGTGATCTCTGCAAGAGAAGCCAAAGAACTGTCTCCAGCCCCAGGGACCAGCCCTGGCCAATCTCCCGTGCCCATTTGCAACCCACCGCACGCCAGACCTGCTGATTCCCCCCAGACCCACAGCCAGGAACAAGAGCAGCAAGGGCCGGTCGTGGGTATGCACACCTGTAATCCCAGCACTCTGGGAAGCTGAGGCAGGATGAGGATTACAAGTTCAAACCCAAACGGGACAATTTAGCAGTTTAGGAAGATGCTCTCAGAGTAAAAAATAAAACAGGACCAGGGAGGGGTGTAGCTCAGCGCTAAGGCACCAGGTTCGGTTCCCAGTAGGAGAGGAGAAGCGGAGCAGGGACAGCAGTGCAGGGGAAGGGCCCTGCAGAGTCAGGGAAAGTCAGCCCTGATCTGAGTTACTAAATTTCCTCGCTCATCGGCTGGGGGCCGCCCGGGTGCAGACAGGTCAAGGAAGACAGTTCTCAGGGTGCTTTTTCCACCAAGCTATTGACACCACCCAGTTCGTGAATCCCGGTTTCGCTGACTGAATCCACCCGTGGCCACCGGAGCGGGCGGGCGGGCACAGAATCCGTCTCTCCCTCTCCAGCGCTACGGTCTGAAACCTGGGCCAGGGCGTCCTCTCACACACCGCTCCTCTCCCTCAGGCCGCCCCGGTGCGGGTCTGGGGGCCACAAACGCCCATCTCACGTGCACCCCTCTCAGTCCCCACGACCGGGGCACTTGGGGCGAAGGAACAGCCTCCTCCGCCGGGCATCACCGCTTCCGGGGCACCAGGCAGGTGGAGCAGGTGATGTGGAGGAGAGAAGGGGCAAGTGCGTGCGGAGGGAACACTTGGGGTATGGGACGCACCACGCTCCCCGCAGCGGCCCGGCCGGCTGTTTGTGCCGAGCTGAGCAAGGAAGGAAACACAGGAGGGTGGCGTGCGCGGAGGAAGGCGCCCGCACAGGCGGAGAGCTGGGGTGGAGGGAGGCGGAGGCGCGAGGTGGGAGCCGAGCCGGGCCCAGAAGGGGGCGCGCAGAGCCGGTGGGGTCGGGCCTCGGGGTGGCCGGCGGGCCAGGGACTGGAAGCGCGGGGATCGGGCGCATCCTTCTCCCACTCGCGCCCCGGGCTGCCTCCCAGACCTCCTGGGGACTTCTCCGGCAGAGCGGGGCACAGTGGGGCCCCCGGCAGTGCCGGACACCACGCGGAAGCTCAGGAGCGGCGGCGCGGGCTGCAGCGGGCCAGCTCTGAAGGCTCCGCGGGCGCCGCTCCACGCTGCCTGCTTCCCGGCCCGACCCCCACCGCCGCATCCTTGCCCAGACGCCGAGGGTTCCGGACCGCCCCAGGGCCCCTCCCTCCCGCCGCGGGCGCTCTCCGGTCCCCGATGGCTCCGCGACCCCGCCCGGGTGCCTGACCTCCCCGCCGCGCCCTCGCGCTCCCGCACCCACCGCACGGCTGCAGCCGA